ATCACAATAATTAACAATTTAAGATATTTTAAAAAAATATAATAAATTTGGTTGACTTTCAAAATTCTATTGATGTCTCATAAATTAGGACAGAGAAAGTAACATGAATTATTTGAAACTGACATAAAAAATTACTATAAATCATAATAATGAACAACTTAAATATTTAAGAGACATTATAAAGCTGGATGATAAAAATCTGATGTGATGTGGCATCTCTCTTTGGCTAGGATTGCCATTTATATTTTTTGTCAATTTTTTCCCCTTAATTTGTTCTTTAAAAAAAAATCAAAAAAATAGGTACACTTAACTTTTCTCTTTCCTCATTATTACTACACTATTTATATCTTCCTAAGATTTCTCTTTCTCATTCTTTATTTTCCGTTTTTTTTTCCCAATATAATTATGCTTTTAAAATTTTCTGAAAATAACTACACTTGCATTTTATCTTTCCTCACTCATTTGTATTATACTACTATCTTTTATCTTTTCAAGATTCCTTCTTTTCTTTCTTATTTTAATTTAAAACATTTATAAATATAATTGTAATTAAATATTACAAATGTAAATGTTATTTATATATATAAAATCTATAAAATCAGATATAAGCAAAGTTATTTTTATCTCTCTTTTTTCTCCTTTTTTTTATTTTTATTTTTTATTTTTACAATTAATTAATATAAGAAATTCATCTTTATAACTCACACCTCTACATATTTATAAATGATATAGTCTTAATTATATTAATAAAATACTCATAACTATCTAATCTTTCATATTCATAACTTTCATTATTTAATTTTGCATATCTTAAAAGATGGGAGAAAAAATTATTTACTTATTTAATTTTTTATAATTAAAAAAACATTTATTCAATTCAATCAATTTTTCACCTCCCTCCATAATTGTCTTCTTTATTAGAGATTTTAATATATATTCATGTCTTCATTCACTTTCAATTTTTATAATTCTTAATTATTAATTCTATTAATGTGAGGTAATAATATATTAAAAGATGGTATTTTATTTCAATTTCTTTTATGATGTATATTTTTTTAGATTAAATTTGTTCAAGAACATGATTAATGATTGATATTGTATAACTTTGAAAACTGTTTTGAAGTTTGTGACTCAAAAATATAGGTAAAAGTTGATTTCATAACAAGAAATTAAAATGAAAACAAGAACTCTCCTATTACAACTAAATGATATACTCAAGACTTTTTAATTACAGTGATTCAAGATTTTATGGCAATTTTATTGTCTACACTTAAGTTCTTCTAAGAAAATATTAATTTGAACATGCAATTTCACATATTTTTTACCTTTTTATTATAATAATTCAAGATTTCATGATAATTTGTCTACTTTTCTTAAATTCATCTAAATTATTTTAATTTGAGTGTGTGAATGCACATATTTTAACTTTTCGAAACCATCTAAATTTATGTTGGTCTCGCAGTTTCCTATATTTAATGCATATTATGATAAATGTTATAATATGAAGCTTAAGTTAATTTCTTTAGATTTTGCAAGAAGTTTTGTAATGCCTTTTAAATTTATCCAGGTCATATTAGATGTTGGCTTATGTTGACGATATATTGCTCTGTGCTTTCTACTATGTGCTACATGAAATTATAATTTAAATTATTTATTTAACATTTCGGAGAAATACGAAAAAAATAAAAATGATTTGGAGTTTAAATGTGCATAGGAACTGTGACCCTTTTTAGTTTTGAATTCTACTTTTGAAAATTTCTTATATTATTATAGGGTAAATAAAGTAGTGTATGGAAAGAATGTTGATTTTTAAAACTAAGGCACTATCCATTAATCTTTTCCTTTTAACCTATTATTGTGTTATATTCAATTAGTGTCAATTAATTGTATACGAAAGAAAAATTACACTGAACAACCAATTAACTAATGAAATTTCAATGAAAATATTTGTATTTGTAAGTCAAAAATTCGATTAGTGCCACATAAATAGAATAGATGAAGTAACATACATTATTTGAAACTGAGGTAAATAATAATGTAAATTATAATAATTAACAACTTAAAAATTTAAAAGATATATAATACAATAATTAACAACTTTTAATATTTGAAACAATTAAAAATTGACCGACTCTCTAAATTCTATTTGTATCACATCTGACGTAAATAATATTGTGAATCATAATAATTAACAACTTAATAATTTAAAATATATATAATGCAAAAATTAATAACTTTTAATATTTAAAACAATTAAAAATTGACCGACTCTCCAAATTTAAATATATATATATATATATTGAAATTGACGTAAATAATATTGTAAATCATAATAATTAACAACTTAAAAATTAAAAGATATATAATATTATGTTTTTGCTAATACGAAATGTTGTGTCTAGTGTGTATATTTATATATATAATAGCCTTTTATATGAAATTATAATTGTTTTCGTAAATATGATGAATATAAATTATTTATGAATTTAAGAAGGAATAACAAAATACAACAATTGAGTAGATTGAATGTTACACTACTTTAAGAAAAAGAAAAAAAAGTACTCTATATGATTTTTTATTGTTATAAGCTTATTAGTATATTAAAAAAAGTAAGAAAACTACTGTGATAACTTTGAAGACAATAATGGGCCCTACATTTATAGAAGTCTGTGTGTTTTGTTTTACTCTTCCAATGTGTGGATAGCCACGTGGCCTTAAGAATATGCTAGAATTTGGGTGGTTTTTCCGGAATTTCAGTACTTCCTATCCACGAAGTACAATTGCTATTAAGCTGTACATTTTGCTTATTTACAAATTTGCCCTTGATTGTCCAGGTCGTCTTCACCTTTCTATCCTTTAATTAATAAATATCTTACCCTTTCTCTTGTTCCCTTTACACGAAAGGAATGCCAATTAAATGTCATTCATCATATTTTTCCTTGGTATTAATGAATTGCTGCACTCTTTTTTTTTTCTTTTTTTTCTCTTTTTTCATGTCATCTTTATTGAGGAAAGGATTTGTCTCTTCTTCTTGAAAATATTCAATAATAATTTGCTTTCATTTATTTTTTTTGTTTCTTTTCAAAATCATCTAACAACACAAAAAAAATTAATTTTGCTTCTTGGAAAAATCAATTATGAGTAGGAAAGTTGCTTTGGATAATACTCTTGGTTTAATGAAGTCTAATATCGATGTCAATAACCCTGATCGTTTGTTCAAGACCAAATTTTGAATTGAATGCTTTCATCCCTTCTTCGAAAAGTAAATCTAAAAGAGGTAATCCATCTGATAGTGAAATCTGTAAGTTGAGGCCAATAAAACAAAAAAAAAAGGATAAAAAGAGAGAAGATGGTGTAAACTCAAACATTGTTTGTTACACCTAAATCTGCAAGAAAAAAGGGTAAGAAGAAAGTTATTATGAATGTTGAGTACCCTCATGATAGTGATTTTGAAGATGAGATATCAATTTCAAAATCATTAAGTTATTAAGAATGGTTTGTTTCATTCTTAATTTTTTTTTTCAAAATCATCTCTATCTAGAGAAAGAAATGGTATTTTTTTCTTGGCGTCGCTTAAGGTAATCTACTACCGACGTCAACAACTTCATTGTTTGTTTAAGACAAAGCTTTGAGTTGATTGCTTTTATTTTGTCTCCCACCAGTAAATCTGAAAGAGGTCAACCATCTGGTAGTGAAATTTCTTAAGTTATTACCAATAATACATCAAAAAGAACGAACAACATTGGTGTAAACTCTATCATTGTCACACTCAAATCGTCAAAAAAAAAGAGGTTACAAACTGTGGAGTATCCTTATGATTAACAATTTTGAAGATGAGATTTTAGTTTAAAAAAGAATTTGATTGAACAAGGTGTCCAAAGAAAAATTTAAAGAAACAGTTCATCTGAATATATAACGTGCTTTTGAATATGTTTTGAACATATAATTGGATAACAATGTAATTTGGTATTTGATGCCTTTTTTTTGTTGTAGTTTTGTACTTTATTGATACAAATTTGACAAAATATTGTGTTTTCATTGTGGTATACCATTATCATTGTAGAAGTTAAATATTTTAAGTACTTGCTTTCTGTTAGTATTATACAATTATGCTCCCTAGTGATCCTCTTATAGTAAGCGACTAAAGTAGACTTCATCATATGTTAACCATACAAAACAAAACCAACATATACCATATATTCTAACAATTGGATACGATATAATATACCCACCTTTATCATATATCAAAATCATATAATATACTATTTTTTCTTAAAATAAATACTATTATATATACCACGTATAATATACTAACATATACCATATATCATACCAACTTTCATTGAAATAAATACTACCATATATACACACCATATAATGTAGTAACCTATACCATAAATCATAGTAACTTGGTATTATATAATATACCGAGTTTTCTTGAAATATATACTACCATATAGTCACTATATAATACACTAGCTTATACTATATATCATATCAACACAGTTTTATTTAATATACCAATATTTTTTTAAATAAGTACTATCAATTAGATATTATATAATATATCATCCCAATGTGAAATCATATAATCTACCAATATTAATTGAAATACATACTTTCTAATATATCAACACATTATTAATTGATTTGTATACGAAATTATCCCTTTTAAACCTTAGTGAATACAATCAATAATTTAAGAAAAAATAATTAAAATATAGTATTATCATCACAATGTAGATATTTACTTGTATCCCACTTTACTTGTCGTACAAGTAAGTATTTTTCCTATTAACTCTGTAAGAAAAAAAATTAATTTTTAAAACAACGTCACTTTCCAATCTATTACTACTTTTAATTTTGTTTTGTTTTTAGTAAATACTACTCACTTTTTTTCTTTTCCGTCACTAACTCAAATTGGGTAAAGTAATAATTCCCCTTTTTTCAATTCCTAGTCAAAATAGAACACAAAATCCTGCCCTGCCTGCCTATAAATAGGGAGAAAACAAATGAGGGTTTTTGAGAAGCAAATATCATGCCGAAGAACAAGGGAAAGGGAGGTAAGAACAGGAAGAGAGGAAAGAATGAAGCTGATGATGAAAGGAGAGAACTAATTTTCAAAGAAGATGGACAAGAATACGCTCAGATACAACGTATGTTAGGTAATGGAAGATGTGAAGCTTCTTGTATTGATGGTACTAAACGTCTTTGTCATATTCGTGGTAAGATGCATAAAAAAGTTTGGATTTCTTCTGGTGATATCGTTCTCCTTGGCCTTCGTGATTTTCAGGTACTCCACCCATCTCTGTTTTATTTTATTTTATCTGGAAATTGCTGTATCAATTATCCATAACAATAGATGATTTGTTTGAGTTCTGCCCTAAATGAAGACTATTCGACCCGTGATTTTGTAGCCATGGCGCAGTCGTCTCTCTTGTTGTGCACCCATCACCGCGATTTGTGTTATTTTACAACTAATAATGAATTACCGATTAGGAACAGAAATAGCTTGTCAATAAGAAACTAGTTTAATTAATTGTCCATATTCAATTTTGACTCAATCAGAGTCTTTCTACTTCACAAACTCCACTTATGTGATTACATTGGGTTTGTTGTTGTTGTTGGGAATGGGTCAGGCTTCTTTTATGAACAATTTGAATTCACTACTTCTTTTATATATTCAGTAGTTGTTCCAATTTGCCTGGCGCTTTTACTTGTTCAAAATATTAATTGTTATGCATTTGGATTTGGCAGGATGATAAAGCTGATGTTATTCTCAAGTACATGCCAGATGAGGCAAGGCTGTTGAAGGCATATGGAGAGTTACCAGAGAACATTAAGCTCAATGAGGGTGTTAATGCATTGGATGAAGAAGACGACGACCCTAATGATGATTATATTGAGTTTGAGGACGAAGACATCGACAGAATTTAGATTTTTTCTTACTTAAATTTCTTTTTTGCCTTATATATTCGTTAGAAGTAAACTATATGATCACAGAGCTTTAGGTTTCTGTATGAATATATTTATACTTCTAACAAGCTACTATATTATTTCCTATTTGCACTATTTTCTGGATGGTTTGCTACTTCTGAAATGTTTTTGGTTGTCTTTCTTCTGAATTTGTTGCTATTCATTGGTGAAGGTTGCTGATTTTTTTTTTACAGTTAATAACTTTTGGTTTGAATGAGTTTATAGCTTTTGGTTTATAAGTCAAAAAGTCCAATTATAACATGATTTTTAACTTATTTTTGTCTTTTAGCTTAAAAATAAGTCCTTTAAAGCACATCTTTATTTTTATCAAAAAGAGCTTAAAAATTGACCTAAAATGTAATACAAACTAGGATCTTATGCATGACTTCTTTGTCATAAACGAAATAGTTTGGATTCTTAATAATTTTATATAAAGAATATTATCGAGTTATTAGCTTGATATTGGATTTTTAATATTGGGTAAATTGATAACCAATTAAGATAGTAGTAAATTAGTAATTTACCACTATATAAATATTAAATATTAATATGAGTACCTTATAGATTACTAACTTTTAGCCTTCAATTCACATTATTGTCCTAGTTCTTTTATTTGTATTGCATTTGTATAGTTCTTTTCATATAAGTTACTATTGTTTCTATTTTATGAGCATTCTATAAAGTTACATTATTGTCTCATCGCGCCAAATTGTTGGAGAAGTCATATAATTGTTTAATGAGCATTTCCTTATTGGTTAAACTGGAAATTGAACCTTTGAGGACCAAAAATCATAAACCGAAAAGCGATAAAAAAATATTTATCGATTTGTTTATTTGTTTAGCATATTTAAAAATAAAAGATAAATATATCGATCCGATAATACATAAAACTGAATCATATCGACCGGTGCACACCCCTAGCCATCTTACCATAGGACCTTAACTATAATAAACTATAGGCTTGAAGTTTGGACACAAATTCTGGAGTTTAGGTTCCAGATTGACAAACCTAAAATAGTTTTTGGTGTGCAAGTTAAGAGAGGAAGTTTCAAATATTTTGGATCAAAACAATCTGAAGAAAATTCAACCTAAAATAGAGTTTTTAGAGCGCAAGTTAAGAGAGGAAGTTTCAAATATTTTGGATCAACAATCTAAAGAAATGGGGAGATTTATGATGTTGCTACACATCATATTGGAGCGGGATGAATGAAATGGAGACTCACATTTTGTGTCTTGTGTGATAAGAATGTTTCACCAAAACTTAAAAGTAAGTTTTATATAGTGAATGTTGGATCAATCATGTTGTATTGGGTGGATTAGTAACCAATCAAAATATCACACCTCTTAAAGATGAAAGTAGCGAAAATGAGTACGTTGAGATGGAAGTGTGGACATACTAAGAGAGTAAAAGTAAGAATGAAAATATTTTAGACAAAGTGGAGTGGCCTCCGTGGTGTGGATAAGATAAGGAAAGTGATGCTGAGATAGTCCACACATGGGAATTTTGATGCACAAATGCCCTAATGAGAAGGTGTGAGGTTGGTTATGGTGGGTCCGAGGAGAGGTAGAGGAAGGGCAAAGAAGATTTGGGAAAAGGTAATTAGACAAGACATATTGCACCTGAGGCTTACCGAAAACATGACCCTAGATAAGAGGATCTGAAGGTTGATGATTATGATAGAAGACTAGTTGCATAATCGAGCATTGTCTAATTTTCTTTATCAATAATATTATTACTAATTAAGTGTACGTGTTTTTGCACATATATATCGTGTTAATTATAATAAATATATATACAAAAAATATATAATTTTGCGTTAAGTAATAAATATATAATCAAATTATTAGAAAAAAATATTAGTATTAAATAAGTGCAATATTTATTTAAGTGATAAAATAAATGTTATCTTTGTAAACTTGTCGATCAAAGTCCCTCACAAGTTAATAAACAACATAAATTTCACTAGTCTAGAGTCTAATTACGTTTCTTATGTGTTTTCAAAATTACTATTTGTGTCATATTTCGATCGTCAGATATATGTATCTTGAATACATGGGTCAAAGTAGATGCAATTTGTTCCAGGTATATTGTATCCTGACGAATTCACATGTCTCTCTCACCTCTCCCTGTCTCGCTTGCCGCTCTCCCTATATATTTGTATTTGAGAATGTATGTGAAAGCAAATATACATGTATTTAGGTGTATTTGACTTAAAATCTGATATGCAATTATTAATTAGTGAGATAAAATGTAATTATTTTGAACTATAGGGAGTAAATATGGTATAAATATTTATGTAATTAGTAGTTTTTCCTCTTTTTTTTTTTTATATATATATCTAAGAACTCCTAATTTCAAAAGAGTTCATTAGTAGTTTTTCCTTCTTTCTTTTTTATATCTAAAGAAATCCTAATTTCAAAAGAGTTTAAAGTGCTAAAAGATTTCCTAATATAATTTGTATTGTCTTATAATAATAATAACAACATTCCGCAATTAGAAAGTGTCCTATATTAAACGGATCTAAAGGAATTGAAAGTGTACAAAATTAATAAAATTTAATAACAAAAGAAACTCCTCAACGTAAAAGTAGATTTATTTTATAGTAACAAAAAAAAGTGTTGTAAATGGAACACAAATCTAATTAGGAGAAGGTATTTTCATGTAAGAGATTACTTTAATTAATTTCAAAGTTCTAAATATCCAGATAATAATTATTTAAGAAAAATAGCAAGTGACAATTTTGTTAATTATAAAGTCCTCTAATGAAGAGCAAAAAATTCAATCAACATTTCTAAAGGTCTTCGTGCTTTTAGTATAGTATAACAGATAGATAGATTAGTCTCCTATTATCTTCTTAGATTTTTATTATTATTTGTTATTTTGTGTTCCTTTGCTACTATTATCATGTTAATTCATTTTTCATATGTGCTCTGAATGTGCTTCCTGAGCTCAAGATCTACCAAAAACAACCTCTTTAAAGCCCTGTACTATATTCATTTTTCACACTTGCTTTGAATGTACTACCTTAGCTGAGGATCTATTGAAAACAACATCTCTAAAGCCCTGTTGCATTGGATTTTTGCCAATTACCATGTACTCCGTTTCAAAAATTCATTTGCCTTGTGCACTTAACTGACAGCCATATTTACATAAAAATATGGTGTAATAACAAGATGCAGAAACAGACTATGATTTATAACACTATCAAATGAAAGTGAAACATAAGAGTTTTCTTTTGAAGATGTGCTAAGATAAATAAAATTACATCAAAACCTACTCTTACTTCACATGAACATATGCCTCTTGTACAAGAAACTTACAGTTCATTTGCATTGGTGCTGGAATTCGTTCACCGTGAATTTGACATCAAATTACATGCATTCATTCAGTTCCTGCAACCTTCTTCTTCAATTCCTCAATGTCTTCCGCCAATTCTTTTCTACTTGACTGTAAGCAAGAACAATAAATTCAAATCTCTGTTGCATTTCCATGCAAACACCACCACTATTCTACAGTAGTCATGTATTCTTTGTGTAGTTATTTCAAAATCTCGGAACATTTTATTCATGATGCACAGGGTCGCTTCATCTCACAATATGAGGTACACTACAGACCAACAGGGACTACTGCAGAAATGTTAGTTGGCATATCGATGCTAAATTCAGATTTTGTCATGGTTAAGAGATGTTTCATAAGACTGAAATAGACAGCACAGTGAGAACATTGAAGTATCTCGGTTTTGGCTGGTTTGACAGGATGAGTTACCGTGGCAGAATGTGATGTAGAGGGAGTTACCAGAACCAAGCCGCAGCCACTCTTTTTATTAATTTAGCTTAAGATAGGTTCATCCAGACACTACCCCTTGAAACTGGATGGACTTACTAAACTACAATGTTTATGAAGATTAGTTCACACCTGTATGGGAAACAATAAGGTAGAAGACCACCTTGCAAACTCGGGCCATGAATGCATTGTGGCAACCTGAGGCCAACCTGTTAAGGTGTGGCCGAATGGATATTCAAATTGTGCTTTCAAGATTATCTGATCCACTATAAAAACATCTACCCTCTTGAAAAATAAAGTAAGATGCTGACAAATGACAGATAAAGTATTTTTTTTAAAAAAAAAAATCGTGGAAAAAATTTGAAATGTTAAGAGAACATGAAACCTAATCCCGCGATCTTACCTTGAAGAGAAGGTAGCGGTAGACAAACCATCCAGTATATCCAAGTCCTACCAACTCCAAGACTTTCGGTAGCTGCAGAAAGGGGAGAAAAATTAGTGACTCAGATGGTTGGGCAAAATCACAAGAGAGATCTATTAAAGACAGGATCTCAGTCTGTCATACAAATGAAAAATCAGAAACCTATAGCAGGGAAAAGACTCAGAACAGTCTTAAAGCAGTCCTCAGGTAAAACAATTAGCTTATTCCATTGATCTACTTACTAGAGGAACTGAGTTGATGGCACCAACAAGAATTGAAGATAGCCAAACTGCTACAATTGCCCCACCACCGTAAAGTAGCACTGTCGTCTTGTCTTCAACAGCATCCCACTGTAATCAATACACAGATATTCAATGTGAGTTAGACATAAACAAATTTGTTTATAAACATAAAAACGATAAAAATATATAAATCCTAACCTCGTATTAAAAGGAAAAGCTATCTATTCCAATCAGTAAAGAAAAATGCATCTCTAATAATTCTTTAATTGTATTTTTAGGTACTCCCACATTATCTCCATTTGAAAAATTTCAACTTGACAAAAATATGTACTACGTACCCCAAATTAGAGAGCGTTCAGCAGATAAAAATATGAAGAGAACTCTAATGAAGGTAAAAAGAACAAGAAGTCTATGGTTGCACTAAAGCTAATATCAGAGTTATCATCACATGGTCCTATTTAACTATTAGAGTTTCATTTCAATGATCTACTCCTATTGTTAAATTGAAGAAAGCCTCAAGACATTATATATGTAACAATCTGACAGGTATTGCTCTATAAGTATTTTGCAGGAATAAGTAACTCACACTCTATGGTGATGTACTGTGTACAAAACAAGGTTTAGATCTTTGTAAACCTCAAAGAGATGCAACAAAAGAGAGATTGACTACCAAACGACTCTATTACTTTCAGCAGAGAAGATGCAATTGTTTCTCAGGTGACGACCATCTGGTTTACCTTTTCTTTTAGCTCTGTTATGAATTCACTAGTATCAACAGAAGCTTCTTCAGATGAAGAGGCTTTAACCTGGAGTAGCGAAGACCTTTTGGATTCTGTTACAAGACATCAACATAAATCATAAGCACAGCAACAGGAACAATATTATCATCGAAAAGAGAAAACATCATACTAATACAATGTTCATCACTTGTATTTAAGGTTTAATGTAACTATGTCAGTAATAGTGTTAAGCCAGCAACAAGAGGTTCTCTGTTATTCGCTCTGGACCTTATCTGCATAAACCATTATAATCAAGGTAGAAAAGAATTCCAGCTTTTGCCAGGGATTAATTGCAAACTTTTGGTTTTACATACACAGCATTATCACAATGTCCATGAAACATGATCGTTGGCATCGGTCCTCTACACTTTTAGGTACTAAAACATCAAGATTTGTGCACAAAATGTGCATTAAAGTAAAGACTGGGATATACTCTTAACTTTAAGCCATTCAATAGAAAGTCATTTCATCAGTGTATGAGGTTCTCCTTTGCATTGCGAAGATACCCTTTTCCCTTGGTAAGAAGCATGATTTTTTTGGAACTCCAATAACAATTGAAAGCACAAATACTTGGTGAATCTACCAAAACTAGGTTAAATTGTCAATCTCAGTTCATCGAAAAGGATAATGGAAAGTAGAAAAGGCTAGTAACTACTTCATTGCAGAAAAGGTATCCATATATACTAATAAATTCCTATTTATTTCTGGAGAAAGAAATGGCAAATTATGAGTTGCTATCCATTTTCAGATGCTATATTCCTTGATGTAAGGAGCCTTAAAGTGGCTTCAGATGCCAATTCTAAGATAGCACTGGATGCAAAGCAGCTAAGGACAATACCCACTGAATAGCTAAATCAAAGACCAGAAGTAGCACATGATATATGAAGCTCTTATATCACAATTAAGTAGTACATGAGCTAACGGTAAAATGACAAGAGTTACTTGCACCAAATTGTGTCAATCAGTATTATTCAGCCATAGGATAAGACATCATACCCAAAGAATTAAACAAGCTAATCTCACGGTAAATTAGGCCAAAGGCAAGCTAAAAAAAATTAAGCTGGGACATGGCAGAATTAAAAGGCCTAGTATACTGCATGAGTATCGATCAAACTCTGGCAGAAGGAAAAACTTTCTTAGCTTCTCAAAAACTTCCCCAGTCAAAGGTATAACAATATTTTAGTTTAAGACCAAATGATTTAAGCTTCTACTCAAGTCATCACAAATGCATAAGTAATTTATTGATCATTGCGACAGAATAGCAACAAGCACATCAGAAAACAAGAGAGGACTTTTTTAGGAAAAAAATCATAAAAAAAACATATCAACTACAATCTACTAAGGAAACAGATGTGAAGAATTAACACATTCAAGTTCAACGATCAACTTCAAATGCCAGTTAACCAACTTAACATGATGCTCCACAAAATGATCTAAAGTAGGACAAAGAGAGAGTATAACAACCCAAAAAATCTATCAATCAATCAACTAAACTTCAATCTGAACCAGTTGCCATCTGTTTATGAATCTTTTTGCATGTCCTCTATTCAAACATTTTAAATTTGGAAAACTCATAGTAATAGTTATTAAGAAGAAAACAATTTTATTTGTGGTCTACCTAGGCAATCTTTCCTTTATCCGAACTTAGGAAAAGTTATGCTCTTTTTTTTTCTTTTGTGAAAGATAACTAAAACAACAAGAAATTAGCCCAAAACTAAGTGAGGAAATGAGACCCCAACAACATCTCCTGCAGCACGTGAAGAAATGCTAGAAGAGGACAAGTTTATGCTTTACTCTAAAAGGGGAAGACAATGAGGATGTTTGGCTAAACTTCTAAGTTGGCCAAACTGGTTTACTGGCACTTTTTAGCTAATCTACGTGTTTGGTAAACACCAAAGTGTTTTTAAGCTAAAATCAGCCAAAAGCCATAAGTTTTACAATTTTAACCTTAATATTTTATCTATTTCTCAACACATCTTTTCCAAAACAGAACTTCTTACATCCTCTTCACTTCGTATCCATCGTTCCTCTTTTCCTTTACACATATACTTATAGGGTTATTTTAAGCGTCTAACAAAAGAACAACTTATCAACATTTTTTTACCAAACACTTCAACTGCTTATTAACAGTTTCAATACTTCTATCCAAACATGTATCAACCTATTTATAAAATCAGTTTCAACCCTTGAAAATATTCTTCAACACTTAATAGCTATTTACAATCAGCTAATCACAGGGGGCTCAATATGTCCTCTCTTTTATAAAAGGGTGTTTCACCAAGTATAGAGTTCAAAATATTAAGGCATAATACATAGATAGACACCTAAATTTGGCCTCAACTAGAAACTAAACACCTTAACTTTGAAAATGCACATCTAGACATCTAAACTTGGTTTAAGATGACCTTGTAAACACCCCCAACTTTGAGAATGCACCCCCTTAAAGGTGTCTAGATGTGCATTTTCAAAGTTAATGTGTTCGCAAGACACACTTGTGTCAAGTTAAAGTGTCTAGACGGTCATAATGAAAGTTGGGAGGGGGGGGGGGGGGGGTTCAACTTTTGGTTGGGGGCAAGTTAAAGTATCTATCTATGTATGTATTATGTCAAAATTTAATTTGACCGAGAAATTACTAGTGGTAAATAAAATAATGATAGAAAAATTGATTGACTAAGAAAGCATCACATCAAAGTTCAAAATAAGAACAACATACCCAAACACAATCCCACAAGTGGGGTCTAGGGAGGGTGGCGAGTACGCAGCCGCCGAGTTTATCAACTTTCTTGGAAAATGATAAAAAGAAAGATACCCCTATTGTCACTCCAAAGAACGCTCTTCGATAGACCCCAACTCAAGTAAAATATATAAAATAAAAGTATGCAAAGCAAATACAGTAGCGAAGAAATATGTTGAAAAGAACGAAGAACAAAACGGTAGCAACGCTAAAAAAATACAATAGTTAAAGCAAATAAAATATCACCTAATACTAAAATCGAAAAATAAGTTACTAAGGAGACTTTTGATAGTGTGTATAAGAATAATGTTGAATATGGTGTATCAATAATGTCGGCATTAGTAATACTTATATTAGTTATGCTGAGATTATTTATTATGCATCATTTGAATAAAAATATTAAAAAATAACATGAATTGCATAATTTTGTTATCAAAAATACCCTCCAAGGCCTAGCTCGAGAGGCAAAAGGTGGAGGATTTGTGGCTTAGGTCGTAGGTTCAAGCCCCACACCACGCAAAGCGAAGCCCGGTATTTAAGTGGAGCAGGGTAGAGGGGCGGGCCCATTATCCACCGAGTTTAGAAGGCTGTGATTGGTCCAAAGGACGGATCACAAACAAATTTCTCGGTTATCAAAAAAAAATACCCTCCACAAATATGGTGAAAAGAATGTGATCTTTTTTTAGGGAGAATAATGTCTTTAACCATGTTAATGCATGCATTAAAACCCCTTGCACCATACTATATGATGAACTTCCATGTATTAGCTATACATACCTAAATACCAAACTGAGTGTATAATTATACATGTGTTGAAAAAGTGTACCACACATGGTATTAGTAATACACAAAGCTAAGGCATGCATTATAAACATTGTATTTTTATTTGGACTAAGAAAATTCGTTCAAGTTCTTGAACTTGTAAAATATTTATACTCCCTCCGTGTCACAAAGAATGACCTCCTTTCCTTTTTAGTCAGTTTAAAAAAGAATGACCTCTTTCCTTTTTTGGTAACATTTTAATTTTTGCTTTCCACTTGACATGTTTAAGACCACAAGATTAAGGGCAATTTTGTACATTTGACATAACTTTAATTTAGGACCACAATATTCAAAAGTCTTCTTCATTTACTTAAACTCCGTGCCAAGTCAAACCAAGTCATTCTTTATGAAACGGAGGGAGTATTATATAGCATGGAATACACGTGTGTTGCACGTGTTTGAGAACTAATATTTTAAAAAAGAGCAAATAATTTCAAAATGTTTATCTTTTAAAACTCATAAATAAAAATTAAACATAAATTATTTGATAAAATATATCAAAAAAGTTTGGTGGAAAGAATCCAAATCCAATACAAGGGGTAAGTGTAGAGTTTGCATAATACAGGGGTGTAGATTTTTAAAAGGGTAAAACGAAAAATACCGCTTTAATATCTATATTCCCTCACTAGAATCTACCTTTTTATAGCCAAACCACTACATATATGATATATATAATCACCAAAAACATCTTTTCACTATAAGACCCCCACCCCATCCATCCATCCATCCATCCAAACCAAATCTAAATTTTACTTTTTTTTCATTCAATGGAGTTCATATCCCAACACCCACAACAAGAACATGTTGACCAAAGAGGAAATTTAAGAGAGTTGATGATTAGTGACAGCAAAAAAAAAGTGGTGAAATAGTCCAAATCCAAATGCATCATGATCAAGCTGAAGAAACAAACACGACTAGTATACAAATCAACTACAGTAGAGAAGAAATTATGTTGAAAAGAATGAAGAAGAGAACATTAGAACAACCATAAAAAATACGATAATTGAAGCAAATAAAACATCACCTAATAGTAAAATCGAAGAATAAATTACTAAGAAGCTTGTACAGTTATGATTGCATTAGTTATACTAAGACTATTTCTTATGCACTATTTGGTTTGATGTATAAAAAATAACATGAATTGCATAATTTCTAAAAAAAATATTTGTTTACAAAAATAACTTCCACAAATATAGTGAAATGATGTGAAAAAGATTTTAAGGGACAATTGTATTTTTAACCGTACTAATGTATGCATTAAAACCATTTGCACCATATTATATCATGGATTTCCATGTATTAGCGATACATACTGTTAGAATAGGAATAGGTTTATACAATCCTATTAGAATAGGAATATGTTTATACAATTCTATTAGAATAGGAATAGGTTTATACAATCCTATTAGAATAGGAATAGTAATAGAAATAGGAATACTAAATAGTATCCTACTTGGTAAAGGATTGTATTCTAGGGTCTATAAATAGGGTCTCAAT